ACAAGATACAAGTTTTATAAAACATTCACAAAATGTGCAGTATTTCAGATGCCATTGCCAGAAAATGCTGCTTAAACCAGAGGTCGCACAACCCTAAAAAAGAACCAATTCAAATATCGATGTTACTTGTTCTTGCTCAGAAGAATATCTGTGACACATGTTCTCCTCTGGGCTAAAGTCTGGGAAATCAAATGTAACACTGGTCTAAGAGCTGTGCAAATTCCGCTTTGTTGTCATGAAGTTGCCGGGTGACCTGCAAACATAAAAACAGCTGACGAAGTCCTGAGGGACATATAATTAGCTCCCCCAGCACCTGCTGCTTTGCTCGGAAATGAAGTGGTCTTCGACACGCAACGTATGCTTAATTTAGCCTTTTCATCTGTCAGTGACATGAAAACCTTAGTTAAATGGGCCAAATTACAGGCTAGCAAATATTTGCCCATTCAGAAATGGGTTAATTTAAGCTAAATGTTTTTGGCTTCGGCCCATTGGTATGCATTACTGCCAATTCAGACAATATTTTAGCTGGACATACACTCACCGGCCACTTTATTGGGTACATCTTGCTAGTACCGGGTTGGACCCCCTTTTGACTTCAGAATTGCATAATTATTTGTGGCATAGATTCAACAAGGTGTTGGAAACATTCCTCAGATTTTGGTCCATATTGACATAATAGCATCACAGGCCCAAAGTGTGCCAAGAAAATATCCCCCACACTATTACACGATCACCACCACCAGCCTGAAACGTTGATACAAGGCAGGATGGATCCATGCTTTCATGTTGTTTGCGCCACATTCTGACCTGACCATCTGAATGTCGCAGCTGCAATCGAGACTCATTGTCCAATTTTGGTGAGCCTGTGCAAATTGTAGCCTCCGTTTCCTCTTCTTCGCTGACAGGAGTTGCACCCAGTGTGGTCTTCTGCTGCTGTAGCCCATCTGCTTCAAAGTTTGACGTGTTGTGCGTTCAGAGATGGTATTCTGCATACCTCGGATGTAACGTGTGGTTATTTGCGTTTACTGTTTCCTTTCTTTCATCTCGAAACAGTCTGCCCATTCTCCTCTGACCTCTGACATCAGCAAGGCATTTTCGTCCACACAACTGCCGCTCACTGGATATTTTCTCTTTTTCTGGCCATTTGATTGGCTGATTAGCAATTTGTGTTACCAAGCAATTGAACAGGTGTACCTAATAAAGTGGTCAGTGAGTGTATATTTGGTAAAGTTTGCTCTCCCCCATACAACTACAAATCAAAGGTGAAGATGCTGGTCATGGAGCATAAATGTATGGAAGGCAGAACAGGAGCCTAATATGTACCATGAGGAGGCATAACGGCAGCTGAACTTGGACGGAAGAAATGGATATAAAGAAGGTGGAACTACAACTGATTGTGGCCCAGAAAAGCATAGGGGAGATGGAGTGGAAGCTGTTCATTGCAGGGATTGGATGAAAAAGCAGGGATAGCAGATCATGCGACATTGGAAGGGATAGAGAAGGTAGTTAGCTATATATGTATAAAAATATAAAAGCCCAGTCATCAGTTTAGAGTTGGCTATGAATATTGACTGAAGAATTATTGCTCTCACGCCAACGCCCACGGGGATACCTGACGTGTAGCACAATTTGTCGTTTTCGTTAGTATGCGTGTGTTCACGGGGTCAGGGGACTTTAACATTTTGGGGGGTGTTTTTATTTTATTTGATAGCACTTTGGAGATGACAGGTTCTCTTAAAGGTTACATTAGGGGTTTATTAGACCCCTAGTGTCACCTTTCCATCTCCCTGCTGAGGCAGCTGAATGTAAACATAGAAGGCAGTAGCTTGGAGCAATAGCAAGCCTGATATTGGCTTTTTCAAATGGCAAAAACCAATAGCAGGCAGGCAGGCTATTGCACCCACTCATTGCTTACTTTCTATCAGCAGAGGAGGGAACTGAAGGAGAAAATTCTCCTACAGGTCCTCCTCTGCTAATTGCCAGCAGGCAGTGGACGGGTGCAATAGCCAGCTATAGCACAACTGGGCATGTGTATTCTTACTTGAATCTTTGTACGCTTTGGTTATTTCTTCCAGATCTGTGCAGTAATCCAGTGCGGAACTTTGTCTTTGTGTAGGAGCTTCCTGTAATAAAGACCGGTCACTGCTGCTCTCTCTCCTTGTGAAGGGTCTTGTATCCCCCCCCACCTGTAGTTTTCTGCAGACTATAGTGGGTGGGGCCTGCTGGGTTCCTCCTACTGCTCTACTCTCTGCACAGACTATGTGCAACACAGTGATGATGTCACTGCTACTATTAAAGGCTGGCTTTTGTAGATATTCAAAAATATATTTAAGCGAAAGTTTGTGTGTCTAGAGTTCAACTTTAAGTCACAGGTTTTCAAATACATAGAACCAACATTCTGCTGGCAAACCTCACACTTTTTTTCAGGTTAACATACCAGTGTACAGAGTAGGCTACTGTAGCACTCCATACGGGCTCCGTCTGTGTTTCAGTTCAGATGTTTCATATGTGCTATAAATCTGTTTTATATCTGACTGTTGTGATGGAGCAGTAGTAATGAAAACAGGGCCTGCTTCCCCAGTAAAGAAGAAAAACAGACAGTTCAAGGGAGTGCCTTTGTGGCCAAGAAATTGGATGAGAAATGATAACTTGGATTCAGGAAACCTTCTGTATAAACCTTGGCATCAACAACAGATAGTTAAATTGCATTGCTCAACATTGAATCAACTTTTGTCCTATTTTCGGCTCCTAAACAAACGACAGGAACTGACCATATAAAGGGGCTGCTAGAGAAGTTACGGCAAACCGTGTAGGTAGAGATGCACCAGAAGATGCAACAGACTGTGTTGTGGCCGCTGCTGAGGAAACAATGGTGATGGGGATGTAAACATTGCGTTATGAACAGTTGATCAGGGCTGATTGTTCTTCTCTGGGCTCGGCTTTATTTACTGAGCACTCCCAGGAAACAATGGAAGAATCATTTGTGTGAGGGGAAGTTTCAATCCCTTTATCACCTTTGGGATTTGGGGACGTATTGGATAGCATGGTACTTGAAGACCAGTGGTGACGAACATGAAAAACAAGGCCAAAGGCAGAAGTAATATTTCATTATAGGGTTTGCCTAGAGTTCACTGTGCCTGTTATCTGATGGGTGAGCATGATGGCTGGTAAAATTGTGACTGGGTTTAGATGGCCATGATTTCAGAACAGACAATCCTGATTTAAGAGCCATGAAATTCTACCTTCCACATTTATTGCTTACAGTTGACCTTTACAGGCCAGCAGATGCTTACTAGGCAACAAAGTAGTTTTATGCAAAGGTGGTCTAAAACAGCCTTACTCAACCAGAGTGCCTTCTGGCTTTGCCTGGGGTGCCTGAAATTTCCCCACAGCATCATGCATTTTCATGGTGCTGGCAAGCCGGCTACCAGCGACATAGAAATACGTGATGCATGCTGGATCACCACCAGTATTCAGAAGAGGACAGAAGTCCGCCTCCATCCAGACTCGACACATGTCATTTTATTTGGGAGGGTGGTGTTAGGGCACCTTTCGTCAATGCGTAGACTGACACCTTTGGTGAGAATGCAGATAAGAGAGTTCTATCATTGCCAAGATCATGCACCTCTGAGAACTATATTTACTACACTAAAGCTGGCCATACACCTTACAATTATCTGCAGATTTTCTGTGGTCAGATGGAAAAGGTGGAACAGATTCCTCCATCTGCATTAAACTGTGTGGCTGGAGTAATCTCCACCTGGGCCAATCTGTTGCACTTTTTCCATCTGACCACAGAAAATCTGCAAATAATTGTAAGGTGTATGGGCACCTTAATGCTTACATGTAATTCATGCTCAATGAGTGGATCTCCTTTTTCTGTGAAGAAAAGGGAAAATTGCTCAGCTGTCACAGATATTCTACACGGTTATAAAATCTAAGCAAGTGATAACAAGCATTTCTAATGGTTATCATTGCTCATTAGCACACCGGAATTCCCACTACACTGCAGCAGCTGACTGACTGGCTGCTGTTTAATTACTGGACCAGCATCCCTCGTGAAAGTTAAAATCTAATTATACAATTTACTTTAGTTTTGGCACAATGCTGTAATGTGACAGACCATATAAACAGTCCATATAATTTATATCCAGTCAGGCCAACCCTTGCACTACATATTCGTTGGCATATCTAAAGTAGATACAGTCATGTATGGTCAACTTAAACCCTGTTATATTACAGAGTTTGTAAGCGCATATGTCCTGGGACTTGTTGTCCTGTTGAGATTCATTTCTACAGAGACTGATGGGATATGCTGGAGAAAGAAGTTCAACTGGGAAAGAATGCTGGGACATGTAGGAAGTATAATAGGTAGGGAATGCTTACAATCATCGTTCTTAGCTAGAATGGCTGATTTAGGAAAACTGGAGAAAATGTTTGGCTGTTGCTAACCACAACCAGACAGCATTATTCCCTGAAATAAAACACAGTGTATGATTCCTGTGGGAACGTTGTGTATTTTTGCAGTTTTCACTTGTAGAGCTGCAGGGTGACAAATGCTGCTTTAAAAAACCTTGCTCGATAACTTGTGTACTAATATGTAAAGCAATTCAAGTACAGTCAGAGTAAATGTCCTGCTGGCCAGATTCCCCTTCACTTTCTGTCTTGGAGACGTAACCAGAAGTGAAAGGAAATCTGTCTAAAGTTAGGGGAATTTCCATCTTAAGACAGTTGTCGCCAGAACATTTATCCCCGTTGGAAACTTTTCTCTCACCTCTGCTGTCATAACGTAGGATTTCCAATCACCTGTCTCGCTCACAGTGGTCACCAGAAAAATAGTAGGGATAATCTCCCCAGTGGTGGCACAGACCGCAATGAAAACACGGCAGAGGGTTTAACATTCTATGCAAAAGTACAAAATGTTTTGCCTCGACATACATTTTAAATGCCATACTAGGCTACAGTATTGACCAAGAGCCTCCTTTCTTTTTCTTTTCCAGTCAGATCCAGTGGACTGATGAAAAGGGCCGCAAGAGAAAATGCTCTGGACCACAGTATGCAGATTATGCTGCCAGCATCATCCAAAAAATCCTGGCAGATGAAGATTTGGTTCCTACTAAACACTGTAAGTTAAGCTGCTATTCCGAAGGGTGAGCAGTGATATGTAATTGTTCAATATGTACCACCACACGCCCTAATAAGTACTAGTTTACGAAATGTTTCTGCTGGGAGACAGGCAGGACAGAACCAAGAGTGCAGTTGTGTATGTTTTGAAACAGGTCTGTGACCAATAAATCTGCATCGTTTCCCTTTTAACATTTTGTGACTCATTTTGTAACACTGATGTGTTTTTCTTTTGTTCAGGTAAGGACTTCCCAAAGACCTTTAAACCAGCCATTCAGAAGACATTCCGATTCCTCTTCCACCTTCTGGGCCACATCTACACCTGTCACTTTAAAACAATAGTGAACCTTGAACTACATCCCCATCTGAACACACTCTACCTTCACTTCCTTCTTTTCTGTGCAGAGTTCCATCTTCTCGATTCCAAAGAAATGGCCTTAAGCGAAGACTTAACCACAGCCTTAATAAATTGCAGCCCTTGCCCAAGGACCTCAGGAAGCCGTTCTCGGCATACATGAACCAGATTTCTGATATTTAATGTATACTGCCACTACATCCTCAAATATATAGCAAAATCATAACCATAAATACTCCTTTGTAATCTCCTGCTTGGTGTTGCACCTCCAGCACATCTGTTTGCCAAACTATAGGACAACGAAGCCCAGAGTATGCTGTGAGATGTATACGACAGCAGCTAACAACATGGAGTTGGTTCAGGAAAGAAACGCTAAATAAGCCGCCAAAGTGCTTTAAATGGAACAACAAGAATACCTGTCAAAAGCAGTTTAAAGTCAAGTAAAGGATGGACAACATGAACCATTTTGTATGTATTACTAGACAAAATATGGTTTAAACTGGCTGCTTTTATGGTTGAAAGGGCGCTATGTAACATAGGTCACTGGATAACAAATATAGACTGCACATTTAGATATTGCAAAGGTCAGAATCTCCAAAAAGGGCACTTTTTTATCTTTGTGTTTATTTTATTTTTACTGGGCTTATTTTAATTATCAATCTCAATTCCACATTTTTAAAGATATGGTTGTAGTCTACAGTTATGTATATATTTATTTTGGTGATATGTTACTTTTTAAAAACAACGCACTTAACCTTTTGTAATTTATTAATTTTAAGTTAAAAAGAAAAAAAAAAAAGATTTTTCATAAGTTGTATATATTTTTTTGTTAATAAAACAATAGACATGGGGGATAAGCTACAGGTTAAAGGACTATTACTCATAGAATTGAAACAGTTTCAAGTATGCTGCACTTTTTTCTTAAATGGTAAATACAAGATAAGATAAACCACTGACAAACAGTTGAAAGTATTGCCTGAATATATATTTTCAGGAACGGCTAGCCATATGGGGTCCACACAACCTCTTTCGACTCTTGTTTGACACAAAAGCTGACCTACTCATTTCAAACACTAACCGTTTCCAGCCCAACAAAGAGTCCACCTCATCGTTATCATCTTGGAGACTACAGGCGCGGATGATGTCAATAGCATACATAGCCTGTCAACAAACCACCAGGATCCATATTGCCTTCGACTTTGAAAATTACAATCTCTGCTTTATAAGGTACAGAACTACATTTACACATAGGCAGGCGATACTTATTTCTGTGCCAGCTGTTTTTTTTCTCCAAAGTGCAGTTTTCCTTCAAAGAAAAACACCCCTAGATATCGAGATGACATTCACCACTGACATTTAATTAAAAAAAAGTACAGAACAAGCTTTTGTAGGCTTTAACAATAATCAGCGATGCTTTCCTTGATTCTAGTTACTGTACATCTATGAAAGAGGTCTGTGTTCTTCCTCATCAAGAATGTAACAACAATAAAAGCAGTTTGTGGTGCTGTTATAATTCTCGGAAGCTATGGTACTTTTATGGCACTCCCTCACTATAATATTTGATTAGTCAATGCATCACCCTGCTCCCATCCTCAAACTAATACATACATTCTTCCTAGTGCTAGCACATATACTGTAGGTTGCGTCCTCTGATTGGCTGATGTGGGTGTAGGAGAACAGGACCTTTAGCCCTATTCCCCTCACTCGCAAGAATATACTGGTCAGCAGACCTAAGATGTACTCTGGGGAACAGTGTGGACATTTTTTTTACTAGGTTAAATTAGTGTTAAGTTGCTGGGTATAGTTGGGGCGTTGCAATGCTGGGGACAGAGCTGGAGATATGTGCTTCTGGAACAAATGTGGGCAATATTTGCTGCTGGGAACACTGTGGTGGAAGTATACTGTTGGGGGAGATAACAGATATGCTCAGGCAAGATATGCTCCTCCGATCAATACTCTGCAGTGGAAGGTGCTGCAGGGAGTGTTCATTTTTTATTCTATTTAAGGATGTTTCTCTACTAGTACTTACAGGTCTGAAGCAGGAAAACAGCCACGATCCTTTGCAAGTTTTCAGCGTTGGCTGTTTGTAATATGGATGTGATACAGTGAGAGGTGACCACAAAAGAAGCATTGTTGAAAATATTGGGTACTGGTTTGCAAATCACTTTTTTAAGAAATTAAGTCAAATTTTCGATATGGAATACCTTACTGGTTTTTAGAAACCAATTATAAACTGTTTTTCAGTAATGCACCTCATACCCCAGGGCCATTACATCCTGCTTTCCAATAGGCTGAAGACCTTCATTGACCACTACCACTTTTGGCTCTTGGTTCAGGAACTACAATGCCTGTGTGTACAAATACACTTTGATATTCCTCAACACATGGCATATATTTTAGTTAGTGTACGTATGTCAAAGCCTGGGTAAAGCTATTGCTATTTCAGGTTATTCACCTATAACACATGTTTTTTAACCCACTTCCAGTGGAAGCTACATCTGTTCAAGTTGTCCCTCTTTCCTGCCAATTACATAGTCGCCAACTTTCCCAGAAATATCTGGAAGACACTTTCCCAAGATGGTGCACTTTGCAGGCCACCTATTAATTCAAATTGTGTACTGCCATCTGTCTGGTTGGACTTTCTGTGGAAAATGGGGAGTGCAGCACATTTTGCAAAGCATCTCAGAGGAGTATGAAGTCTCCATTGCAATAAAAGGAGATTGTGGTGTGCATTCCAATTAAGGTGGACCTATACTTTCAATGCACAGAAATTACACTCTCAAAGTAGGTCCAAAGTGGCAGCCTCCACATTTTCTCTATCGGAGACAGCAAAGAAAAGCCATAATGACTGAGCAAATAGAACAGGAACTTTGTGCTGAAAGCTCTCTTGGGTTTGTAAAATTATTTGCATGAAATAAAAATGCAGCACTAAATGTTTTTCTTCTAAACAAATTTAGTACTGTGCAATATAGTAGAACCAAACTGACTGATAGCCCTTCATCTCCCAGGAGAGTTGCAGGTAGCTAAGAAAAGAGTAAAATACTTGTACTATATAAAAATACATTGAAAAGCTTAATTGAATACACAACTACCTGAAATGGCGATCTTTGATTATATATTCAAAGATCACCTGAAGTTCAGCTTTAAAGGTACCCTACCTCCACCCCACTGTACACCATGAATACTAAAACATCTTTCTAAAGATAGAAATACTAAAGATCATCTTTCAAAATAAGTTATCCAGAAAACACCTACCATTAATCAAAGTTTACTTAAAAAACATATATACTCCTCCTTTATTTGAAAAGGAGATACGTTCAAAATCTCTTTGCTCTACTGCGGCCAAAGAATCAAGGTAGCCTTTCTGACCCTGACAGTGGGCCCCAGTTGCCAGAATACAATAACTGGCAGGGAAGATTCCTCCATCCATGTTCTTTGTATGGATAGGGGCATCTAGGCATCTAGTGTATGGCTAGCTTACTAGCATTTTCAAAAGCAGGTCCAATGTGGCAGCCTCCATATTTTTTTTTTTTCAATACATGTTTTCTTTACCCTTTTCCTACCGCCATCTAAAACATTTTTCGGGAGGTGGACATCATTCCAAAAATAGCTCTCGGGAGCCCGCTGCACCTACTAATATCTTTGTATACCGAGCCAATCTGAGCAGCTTGGTACCTTGTGATGGCTGTGATGACTAATTACCGTGGTCACATGATACTTGTTACATTACATTGAAGATCCTTGTCTATTACAACTAAGGAAGGAGAGGAATCATAATCATTTGTGAATGGAAAATTTAGTTAATGGATCAGCATCAGCTGCTAATTCATTGTCACTGAGGAGATCTTTCTTTAATCCCTAACTTCCCCTCTTCTCCTACTGATCTCCAGCCTGCTTGTGTATTGTGACCTGCTCATTAACCCCCTTCACCGCCTTATCCCTTTGTGCATGACCTGATGTGCTGTATATAGCGCGCCATTACCAAGCTCCATGTTTGAGCCCTCTCAATACCAACATATTTGCGACTAAAAATGAGATCACCTTGTGGTGTCTACTTTCCAAAAAAGGGGCCGTTTCAAAGGGGTTTATACTGGTATTTTTTATTTTCAATACAAAATATAAAACACCCAGCAGTTAACACCAAAAATATTCTATGCTTCTTAAAAAAAATAAAAATAACGTTCATTGGGGTACAGTGTTGCATGACTGAGTAATTGTTAAACAAACTGAAAACTGAAACATGGCCTAGTAATAAAGGGCTAAATACAGACTGGTGCTCAAGTAGTAAATTACCACAATTTACCTCTACTAAGTAACCCAAAGCCAGTCTATTTGGTTAGCCATCTTTCCTTCTATTGATGACATGGCAATATTTCTAGCTGTAAACCTGGATCCCACACGGCAAAACACACAGAGCCATTTATTGTTCATCAGGGCTGTTTCACTTTTCTCATCTGGTTGTTTAATTTGTCACTTCCAGTGAGCATGTTCCTCTATAATTGCCTTTGGGATATACTTTGTTTTTTTCCCACCCTTCTATTATGGTTAGATCTTAAGCTTTTCCTTTTTGGTATTTTAGATTAAGAACGTGAGACCCACTGAGAACATATATTTATCAAAAATTCCTTTACTATGCTTTAAAGACATTTCACTTCAAAAGATGTCAGCATCTTTACCATGCTTACAGTAACAATAACCTCCTATAATAAGGTATTCTTTATCATAAAACTGCCAATAAAAAGTATGGTTCATGTGGGCTGTTTCTGATGCAACTAGGCAAAATCTGGATGTTTTATATTTAGCTACATTTATACTTTAATCACAAACCAAATAAACTTTAAAGGGTATTCCCTGAATATTCATATTCATTTGGGTACTTACAATGAACTTAACATTTACCCTCTTTCATGCTATAATATGTAAAAATAGCATTCTACCATTGCTTTGTTAACTTACATTTAAAAAAATTCAGATGTAAAATAGTTCTTGAGAAATTTTCTTTTCATAAATTGATGTATGACCTTGGGTGTTTAGCCTTGAGTAAACAAACATCTCAGGTATTTGACATTCAGGTATGTAGACTGTAAAGGAACTGCCTCTTATGTAGACAGAGAAGGTAATACCAGCTCTATGTAATGTCCATACCCACCTTTACATACCTGACAAGTCTATTTTTATGAAAGTTATTATTTCTGCGTTCATTGGTGTAGACAGTAGACTGCAGGGTATATGACCTGCCATTAGGAGTTTGGACACTTAAAGGTATCTATGGTCAAAAACAAAAAATAAATAAGTATTTCTATATTGAAAGTTGTATCCTACTCCTAATAACCATAGAGATCTAGAAGTGTGTAAACCTACTTATTGAAGATGCACATAGGATGCACTGACACAATTTCA